GGTGTCCCTGCCCATGGCAGGGGGGTTGGAACTAGATGGTCTTTAAGGTCCCTCCCACCCAAACCAGTCTGTGATTCTATTCACACAGGAGCATTTTTAGATGAACGCTGCCTTACCAGCACAGGACTCTACACAGCCGAGAAACTTCCTCTGCCGCTACCCACACAGAGACAACCAGCATTTGGCAGAGAGGGTCACAGTACTACTTGATGGTATAGCCATATATGAACTATGAAGAAAGACATTGATATGAAACCTACACTAACAAATCCTGTGTGCCGAACCTGACCCCTCATTTATGCACACATATAGCTGCAGTTGAGTATTATTGGGAAGTAAAACACATCTTTAACATTAATTTTATTCTGCCCCTCTTTCTTTTACAATCTACCTATGACTTCCTACATACAGCCAGCTTTTTCTTTCAGAGAAGACAGGATGAAAACCTACCTATATAAGGCTAGAAAGCTATTTCTATCTCTTATGTGAACTTCAAAGTGCTTAGTGATTGCAATTTAGGATTCTAATAGGTTGTGCCATATTGAAAAACAGAGTTAACAGCAATAAGCAGTGGAGAAACAATTTGTGTGCACACTTACCAGTGTCCATGACAAATAAGAAGGTTTTTTTCCCTTATGCGATTATTTAAGAAAGGTATTTAAGCTTGAATTCTTTGAATACTTATTTTTCCAAATGAGAAAAAATTATAATCATCCCTTCTGGAATAGAAGCAAATAGTATTTTGGGCTTCTCATCACCTGAATCAAACTACAACACTAAATTTTAGATTTTTATACTTCTGCCCCAGAATAAAAAGATAAAGGCAAAACATTTCACTAAAGGTCACAATTTCTCCCTCTTTTTTTCAATCTGCAACACAATATAGCTTTTTATTTCTAAGCATAACAATGGCTAAAATGTAGTACTATGCTATGTTTCTTCTATCTGCACAGTCACTGTCTATTAATTCTGTCTGTGAAATCCCAAGCTGTATTAAATCAAGGTAGTATTTAATATTTTTAAATGGTAAATACTTAAGTCAATCTGACAAAAAATACAAGCTCAACATTTTGTTTCAAGCCTCTTCTGTCAATCCAGCACATCATGTATTATTTGGCAGGTCCCTGAGGTGGGCAAAGTGAGGAAAACCTGAAGCCCGAGACCAGCAGCTAGCACTCCACAGTACTAGCTGACATACCTGGTCACGAATATCTCGATGCAACAGTTTATATGCACATGCTTGCTTTGCAGAATTAGGGCTATACTGCTTTCATGGGAAATGATCACACGTAATCTCTACAACTTGCACATGTTTGCATCTGGGTTTACTTTCCCCCAGGTTCATACCTTGTGATAAATTGTGCAGGTTGTCCTGTTTTAGGATGCCAGGCAGATTTCGAGGGGGAGGAGGGGGAGGCCTGTTACAGATAAAGCAGTCTTCTCTGTTCTCCTTGAGATCATCAGGTATGCTGGCGTACAGATTGTCAGGGCTGCTGCGAAAGCTGTATGAATCTTCCTCTTCTGGATCTTTGTGTTCTGTCTCCTCATCCACCACAGCTTCTTGTTGGCATCTTAATCCAATTCCATGTTGATCTCCTGGATTCTGCTTGGTTTTTAATGCTAAAGAATGCATTATTTAATTTAAAATTTGCCATCTGGAAACATTTCCTATTTCAAGGATTCCCACAGAAGCAACACAATGGCTAATAAAACTTTCATGAACCAATACAGTAGGAAAGCTGTCAAATACATACTGTCAGCAAACAGCTTTTTAAATATTTACCAAATCAACAGTGGAAGTTTTTATTACATCTTGCTGCTCTGACACATACTATCTTCGCGCACGCAGTGTTAGACTTTTCTAGTTGTCAGGATGAAGTCTCACACACTTACCTCACCTCCGTAATTTGTATTACTTGACTTTCAACACAGCACAGTGCAACACTTCGTAAAATAAAGCTGTAGCTCACACAGCTGTGGAAGTTGCTTTTATACAATAGGGTTTGGGTGCTTGTTTAAATCTCTCTCAAATGAAATAAACATTGCTCCCAGGAGATATGGCACCCGGTACTCCTGTGGAAATGGAGGTCTACCATCTGTAGTGGCCCACAGACCAAGAACATAGTGGAGGTAACAGCAAGCCCTTGAGGTAGGCTTCTGTTCTGAGTTACCTTGGTGATGCCTGCCTGTCATCATGGATCCAAACGGGAGGTTAGGGCGTTTACCTAGCTAGCATGGCCAGCCGTTACAATCTGTGGTGTTCTTTCCATTTGCTCACCCTGTGGTGCTCCCACATACAGCATGAGGAGGACAGGGCAAAGCTATCAGTGCTAATCAGGTTTCTAGCTCACATTTATCACCTGCTTAGATGGGCTAAAGCAACTGGTTTCAACTTCGCAAGTGAAAATGCACCCTCTTCATACAGAAAAAGGGAAAACACCCTTTTCATACAGAAAATGAGAAAGCTGAAAAGATAAAATTGTCAACAAGCAGGTAAGATAGAAACAGGATAAAGTTTAGCTTTATAGCTCCACAACACTGTAGAACATATGCCAAATATATGCCATCAGTAAATACAAACAAGCAACTTCGTCTGCACTTTTCAAGAGGAGTGCACATGACCAGGCAGATGATCAACAAGCTTGCCATCAATCTATGCCTAGATGTGTGAAGATCAAGCTGCAAACGCGTGCCTCCACACCGGCGCTGGCCACACCTGTAGCAGTGCCTGCCTTCAGATGAGGGCTGTTCTCTGAGAACCTGGAGAATTCAGGTGTTTTCTAGATTCAGGGCAGAGATCACACATTCCCAGAATTTACCAGGAGGGGTGACTGTACGGAGGTCTATCTTACTAAGCAATGACTTTGTTATCTGCATCCCTTACCTGCCTGCCCCCTTCTCATAGGACATCTGCCCTCCTTGGAAGCTGCAGTAACATGTGGAAATTGGAAGTATTAAAAGAATTTGCCCCCTCTGTTTATCCATAATGCCACTCATTTAATAGAGCACAGGCTTTATTACTGATAAAGCTGTCTAACAGCATGACTTACTCACGGCCGGTTGAGTTTCTGAGCCTAACATAAGCATGTAAGTGTCATCGTCTTCTGCTTCCTCCTCACAACCAGTGAAATTATCTGCTGTATTGATCTAGAAAGAAAAACAAGGGACAATGTTTGTTTTGGTGACATCATCCCCAAGTAAATGCAGGGTCAGCATTAACCTGAGGAGAAACAGCAACCTTTTCTTCTTCAGTCCAAAATTTAAGTGCATTTTGCAGGGGTTGCAGCAGAGATTTCACTCCAACTTTCAACATTCTACTAAGGGGAAAGGGAAGACAGAAAGATCATGCATTTCAGCTACACAGTGATACACATCCTACGGGCAAAAGGAAGGTGTTTGTCTGGGTGCACATAAAGGACACAAGGTTCTGCCACGCAGCGATATCCAAGTTTGCACTGAAAGGATTGAAGTTAGTTGATCTCGCCTTAGCACTGGGCTGGGCTGTCCAGACAGCTCCCAACTCATCTCCCAGCTGTGAAGCACTCATAGGTAATGAGAAAGGCCAACAGAAAGTCTGTAGGACATTACTGAACAGCTCAAGGCTGCACAGAGTGCAAGCCATCTCTGGAGAGCTCATTACAAACGGTTGCTGTATCCTAGTGGTTGGGACCAAAAGCCGCACATGCACTGCAAAACCAGAAACAGGACTGCAACAACGTCTTAGCAGTTCTACCTCAGTGCCTACCGGTGGGAAAGCGTGGTTTCTTGTTCCTCTAGAAAGCCCCTGCGTTCAAGCAGGGTTCCTCAAAATCAGCCCCGGGAGGGTCAGAACAATTGGTTCTCTAAAACATCACCAAAGTATTTCTTCAAGCAGAAGAGACACAAACTTCTGCTCACCCAGAGGCACTGAGAGCAAACTTGTAACACAACTGCAGACAGTCCTCCTGTCTTAAGATACATAACACACACTTGTTAACGGCTGATTTTCAGAAACAACTGCAATTTCAAAAAGGTGACAGGTTTTTTTTTCAAGGAACCTTCACATATAAGTGTAACACGAAACTATCCTGCATAGGCACAAGAGTGCCCTCACTCATTATTCAGGAATTTTGAATCACAAAATGTAAACTTTGGGTGTTTAGAATACACCACCCCCAAACCAGGTAGGGAAACAGCATGGTCCAATGTATTATCCACTCTGCAAGGTCAGTTACAAGCAGCTTAGTGGAGAGCAAAGTCAAGAGGAAGGACTGATGAGCAATTATACCCTTCTGCATGGCACAGAAACTGATTCCCACAAGCTTGTGCCAGACTCTCAAGAAGTTTGTTCCTAGTATCCTGCTGCCTCCTGGAACGCAGCCGTTGTCGTTCTCAGGCCCTAAATTAATACTGTGGTGTGAAAGGGGAAAAAGTTTGGAGAAATAGTGGCTTTTTCTGAGGAACTGAGAATGCTTTCTTCCCTGCCGCTGCTGCACACCGTCATCTCACCAGTGACAGGCTTAAGACGGCACAGCCACCAGACCGTGCACCGGGTGCGATCCCAGGCCCACTTTGTGAATACACCCGCACAGCCACCAAGCTATACCTGCCTCCAGCAAGAACGCGCGAGTCTCTGCCTTCAACGCCCATCTAACGCGCACATCAGTGAGAGAAGCCTCTGTTTTGCTTGAAATTCCCCATCACACATCTGGTTCCTCTTCACTTCACAGAAGCAGGATACCTCTTCAAAGCCTGACTGAAGTCAGACCTTAGCAGAATATTTATTTTCAAAATATTTAGGCCTGCACGTGCTCAATGTAACTGTAGGGTTGGGGGAAAAAAGCTTTTCTGGCAAGTTCTGTGTTTCTACCGTGAACAGAGGATGTGTGCAGAAGAAATCGAGCAAGCAGAGCTCTAGATGCAGTAAGCTCTCCTGCTACGACAGTGGAGTAAGGCGGCAGAGAAATTCTTTCAAGGTGTTGACTTTCATCTTTGCAAACGTTTAGGATGTTGGTAGAATGAGGTCAAAAGTGTGAGTGGAAGAAACAAACGGCACTTTCTGACTTTATTCTCTTGCAGATACTTCTCAGCTGAAGGAAACTCACAGGATAACAATAGGATAGATAAAGACGTATCTTGGAATCCTCAACGTCTCAGAAGATTGATGGCGAGCCTGCCCTGATAGCTTAGAGGGGTTCCTCTGATGGTGCTGAATCTTAGGGAATTCAGGATGCAGTTTGTAAGTTTAGCCCCTGACCACACTTCCTAAAAGTCTCCTGCACCTGGGAGACACAGAGAAACTGAATAGATGGAAATTGTTTTTAAGTAAATATGTTTACACAAGAAAAAGATTCTGTATAATGCATAAGTTACTGATAAACGCCTCCTGTGACCCCAGACATGACGACACCATGCAACTGATGACGTGGTGCAGTGTCTCCAAAGGCAGTGGAGAGTGTCCTTGTTTAGGAATGCAAAGCAAGGCAGCTAAATCTGAATAATGTCATGGCTCAGCCTGCAAACCCTGCCATGACACCCCGGATGAATGCCCACTACTTCTAGTTTTGGAGTGTCTTTTACATGGGCTGGGTCACATAGTTGGAATGGAACAGCATAGCCAGCCCGATGTTTCCACAATAGAATTTATGGTGTGGTGTACAATATGCACACAGACTTGAACAGACTTTTGAGTCTGTTTGGCGGAAAATGGCTGATTCACACCAAGATTCCTTATGCATGTCCAGCCGCCTTCCAAAAGAAGAAGTAGCTTTATTGGAAGGTAGTATAACCAAAAAAAAAAAAAGGTATTAAGGTTGTCAGCACAGAACTGCTCATAACAGACTACTGAAAAGGGCTCTGAAGGTTTGAAACTCTAGGTTGGAAGGCAGCAAGTAACATTTCCTTACCTCAAGACGCAACAGGAATGTTGGAATGAATTGAAAGTCCAGTAAGAGACCGATGATGTTTCAAGTCCTGAGATTAAACGCCACCTCTCAACATCAAAAGGTAGAGACTTAATTTTCTTTCAGTTATGTATTTTAGCTGTCTTGATTAACCTTCATGTCAAACTAAAGACTTTCACAAAGGCCACTCTTTTGAATAGCTTCAAAGCTGTCCCTCTCACACAAAGCCTGAATTGATTTACCTCCCTTAGTTACTCAGGAAT